CGTTTCGCCATAAGCAAGTGAAATATAATGAATAATTGTGATATTGTTCTAATACATCGTTAGACCAAATTCCTCCATTGTGCATCACCGACTTGAAAAGTTTTAAAAAGCCTCCCTGAAAATAATGTGTTCAAAACAAAATAACATGTGAAACGTGTATTTGGTGAATGCATACAGGATTGCAAGCATAAAGAGTCGGTGGGAGTGGGAATAGTAAGTGACAAAGTGTTGAGCTATGAAAGTTATTAATTATAAAATTATTTTTACTTTGTCTTCTCAACTTGGTTATATTGGTATGAAGACTTAGAGGAACACACCTAATCCAAAGTCCATTGCATGCATGACAATTTCCAGAGTCGAACAGTGGATGTGGTACATTCCCAGACGTTTACCTGGCATCGTAGCCGACATCATCAATGAGTCTTGCCATGCTTAGCACCATAATACAACTCGTCAAAGGGACAAGTGAAGCCGATCCTTTGACCAAATGTGTGCTAAACAGTTGTGGTATCTCTCCTTCTGTCCGAGACTGTTCATCTCTCCTATATCCTCGTATCACGCCTTCACTATCACAATTTATTACTTGCTTGTTTAAATGTGGTATGGTGTGCCCTTATGAGCGACTTTCATGAGAACTCTCCACACCGCCTACTGGCTTTCTCACCTCCTTCACCATCGTGCTGGAAATGCTGATCAGAGTCTGCCATATTATTACACAGTCCTCCTTCCCTAGGTCTTATCAGAGTCTCACTCTTGCCCCGTGGGCTCCGTCCACTTTTTCCCTGGTTCAAGTATTTCCCTTGACCTCTGCCACCTCACCTGCGTTACTCGAGGCGTTATCTCCCACAATCTGCCTCTGGGAGACAAACTTGAAGCTAAAGTCCCCGAGTAATTCTCATGATCAAACCATTGCTTCATGGAGCAAGTATATGGTAAAACAGGCCTACTGTCAGCTAACAAGCTCTAGTCACCTTCATGTCTATCCTGTTTCTAAATGTAATACCAAGTCTATAACTTATATGCTCTAGTCTCTTGTGTGCCGACTTACAAATGTTGTGATACTGTTTGCTTTGATTAGGTTCAATGTTGAACCACAAGATGCCGAAGATCGTGCATTGATGAATGCTATCTGTGTGTTAAGCTCAAATAAACAGCACTGAATTTAGGAATCGTGAAAACACATTGAAGCAAAAATACGAGAAAAACTGCAACATCTTAGCACTGAGTATAAAATAGGAAAGTAACAGCTAAAAATCTAATTACGAGTTTATCCACTGGCTAAAATATCTCAAAAAGGGAAACGTTAAAAACGTGAAAGCGAACGGAAGTATGCTCTCTATGGAACGGTATGGACCAAGGCCTAATGGGTGAAACCACAAGTATAGAATAAACTATTTTTAAATAGCTTCCAAACCTAACTATCCTGATTTGTGCAATTCCCAAGAATAATATGAATTCATTTGCGAAGGATTTTTCCCTTAAATGCATTAGTGGTAGAATCGGAAAGTGTGCAACTGTGTAAACTTGTATGTGCATATGAGCTTGCCAGAAAGCCGAATCAAAGTAAATCTTTGCACATATAGCTTCGGAGAATACTAACCGGAGATCACGCGGCGTCAATGCCTGACTGCCGAGTCGCTCAAAAATGCTGCGGAGTGGGACAAAAAAGGGGTGCGCCTCGTTGGCAAGGGCGTAAGACATTAGCGAGAGCAAATCGCGAGGCATCCCAGCTTCGCACATTAACTGTTGATTGCGCGATGACTGCAGCAAATGTCGAATAACACGGAAGAGACAGAGCTGACAAGAAAAGATGAAATTATAAAATATAGGCAAAAAGTAATCCAACGAGTAGTATAAGTATAAGCAATATTGAGCCGGATCGATGCTGAGTTGGCGCAATGGGAGGTAATTATTCTGACTGAAAATGAAAGCCTTATAAAACGATAGGATAAACGTAAGGCAGGTACGTTTGCAACAATCGAAAGAAGCTTGATGCGAAATCCTATAACTATTAAGAATCTAAATCACATGGTAACTACGACGAATCTTCAAACTATGAATCTGTTAAGGATGAAATTGCTAGAAAAATTATAAACCTTTGCATGTGAGAGACATTAAGTGTTACGAGTGTGGCGCAATGGCGAAGGGTTTATGGAAAATAGGATGATTTATAGGAAACTACCTACATTGTAAGGATAAAATAGCAAACCCTAAGGAAAAATGTTATATCTCACGGAGTCTAATCATCAAAATAGAATGAATTAGCTGAGTAACCGAAAAAGTGAGTAAAAGGAGATAGAGATATAGAGGGCAGCATTAACAGAGTAGAAAACTAAGTTGTTTTTCAGACTAATGGAAAGTAGCCCAGATTGGGAAGAAGATGGTGATTAAATAAAAAAGTTAATGTGAATGCCTACTGTCTTTTGTTGAGTAGGCTCTCGTAACAATTTATTTTGCTATCACACATATTGTCCCTTAGTTCTTTC